GAGCTACGGGATTCGAAAAAAAAGAGCGACGGGCGTCTTTTTAAAGATGGCTCCCCGCTCGTGCGTTTCTGGATGTGGTCGTTTCCTGGCTTCATCTGACGGTCACGATCGCTGTGTCTCGTGCTTGGGCTTTCAGCACGCTGAAGCAGCGCTCGTGGATGAGTCATGTTCTCAGTGCGGGAACATGACCATCGCGATGTTGCGGTCCCCGGTGCAGAGGATCTCTTTTCTCGGCATGGAGCTGGATTCGGTCGACCTCTCAGCGCGTCTCTCAGTAGAGCTTGTGCAGTCGATGCTGAACTGCCTGGGGTCCTTCCAGGGCAAGACGGCGGTTCCACTGAAACAATTTCAGAGGCTCCTGGGGCATATGGCACCCGCAGCCGCTGTCACGCCGCTCGGGTTGCTTCATATGAGACCGCTTCAGCATTGGCTTCACGACCGGGTCCCGATGACTGACGTAACGTCTCCGTTCCCTCCTTCAGGGAACGAGGGTTACACAAGTAACCTAGACGATTTGGGGAATGACTTCTGCATTAAAAAAAGCTCAATTATCGACTGTATCGACCATATAATCGTGTATCTTACACTTGGGACTGTTGACAAATATATAAATATATAAAGTGTTAATATAAACATTAAAAAATATTATAGTACTGGTTGGTTGTCAACAGTGTTGGGTGTAATACGTTACTGTAATTAAATTACTTATCCACTGAAAGAAGTAAAGTAAGGGATTACTGTTCATTTTTAGGTAATTTAATTACAGTTACTTAAGTACTTGAGTTAGTCTTAAGGTAAAATTGAATGCAGCGTATTTAACCCTCTGCGTGCCGGCGCGTTCACTTGCAGTTTTTCCTGATAAGAGAGAAAAGGACCTAAAATACCCAGATACAGATAAGACTAAAATCAATTGAATCTTTAAACGGTCTACAGTACTTTTATTTGTGTACACTGACAATAAGAATAAAACATTGTGCTTTTGTAAAATAAAGAAAACAAACAGGGTGCGCTTTCTGCTGTTTTGGTCTCCATGAACTTCTTTCTGAAACGCGTCACAAAAATGAACCGAAACTCAGTGAATACTTGACACACATACATGAGAAATATGTCTATAGAAAGCTTGAAGTGTCTACTTTTAAATTAACTGATTCAAATCGAAAACAAATATTCTCTGATTATGTAATCCGTATGTGCCGGCGCGTTCACTTGCAGTTTTTCCTGATAAGAGAGAAAAGGACCTAAAATACCCAGATACAGATAAGACTAAAATCAGTCGAATCTATAAATTGTATACTTTTATTTGTGTACACTGACAATAACAACAAAACTTTGTGCTTTTGTAAAATAAACAAAACAAAAACAGGGTGCGCTTTCTGCTGTTTTGGTCTCTGTGAACTTCTTTCTGAAACGCGTCACAAAAACAAACCGAAACTCGGTGAATACTTGACACACAGACGTGAGAAATATGTCTATAGAAAACTTGAAGTGTCTACTTTTAAATGAACCAACTCAAATCGAAAATGAATATTCTCTGATTATGTAATCCGTATAAAACTAAAGCGAGGAACAGTCTTTCCCGTCTGAGCTCATTATCTGCAGCCATACCTGTGCGCAAACGCCCTTGTCACCTAGATACAAAAAATAGATTAAAAAAATCAAGATTCATCTACTTGTCATTGTTTTTGGAAGAAGACTTGAGGAATAAGCCGGAATTTACCTCAGAAGATCAGCGCGATCTGACGCGGCTTTATTCAGCGAGAAGATAATTTCTTACATTAGTTAACGTGTTATGTTTTAGGCTACATAATTGTATGCATTTTACTAGTTGCGCTTTTCTTTTTTATCTTGCCAAACTGAAATGTGTGAAAGAGAATAAAATATGCTGAAATATGATATGCTATGATATGTTGTATACATGTACAGTATGTCAATATGGTGTATGAAATATGGTACTAATTGCTTTGAAAAGTTTAATGCTTACAGCTTGATACATGTACAGTACCTCTGGTTTCACAGACAAGGCTGAAGTCTAGTCCCAGATTAAATACATTTCTGAGCTGTTTTAACTGAAAGAAACTTGCACTGACATACCTTAAAATATGTCAGTTCCATTGTTTTATCTCAAGATGCACCAGTAATTTTCTCTTCTGGCACATTTATAAAAGTTACTTAAAAATGTACTTTTCTTAAGCTTTTTTGTTATTTGGATATTTTGCAGAGTAATTCTGTTTGTTAACTAAAGAAGGTTACATTTTTTTATTAAAATGCTGAAGTATTACAGTTGTTTTAAAGCTAAAATGCTAAACTATTCCATGTTTACCTCAAACTGAAATAATTAAGAGTTTCATTTCTATGCATCAAGGTTTATAGGGATTTTATGAAGTAATTAACGATTCGAATTATTACGTTACTTATTGAGTAATTAAGTAACTTTTTTTAGACAGAGTAATTATAAAAGTAATTTAAATACAATATTGATGATGTAATTAGTAATAAGTAATTAATTACTTTTTTAAAGTAACCTACACTGGTTGTCAATAGTATATACTAGTATTGAAAACAGTTGTGCTGTCTAATATATTTCTGGGAACTGTGATTCATTTTTTTGATTAATAGAGAGTTCAAAAGAACAGCATTTATTTGAAATTGTTTTGTAAACTATAGATGTCTTTACTGCCACTTTTGAGCAATTTAATGAATCCTTGCTGAATAACAGTATTAATTCCTTTAAAAAATCTTACTGACCCCAAACTTTTGAACTGTACTTCAATTTTGAACAATTTAACCTCATTAA